ATTCCATCTTCAACGTAGATGTCTTTAAAATCATAAGTTGGCATGAGTTGTCTAAAATGTCATAGTGTGACAGGTCCTTTAGCAAAAAATGTGAGCTCAGCCGCTTTGCGCATTTGTAACAATTTTTAACTACGAAATGCTCTTTTGAGTGTTCATAATTTTAGCAACACTTTATGTGTTGTTAGTCACAAAGAGAAATAAAAACAAAATAATATTTGCTGTGACTCAATTATAGTGTAGGTTCAGTTCAGGTAATCTTGTGATTATATGTGTCACAACTCGATAAGGGAAAAAACAATTATGTTTTTTTTTTTCTTTTACGCTGAATATTTGTCAGAAACGTGACAAATCAAGCTCTGTCAGAAATGTAAGTAACCACGTGAGATGTTTGTGGTGAAAGAAAAGCAAACCTGATGGGTCACACCGGCTGACAGTTTCTATCTCCCTCAGCCGCGTGTGCCTGTAGCTGGCCAAGTACCGCCGGATCACCTGGCATTTGGCCAGCAGGGYGATGAGAATGGAGACAGAGATGGCCGTGACCAGGACTGCCACCAGGAACTCCCACTTGTGACTGGGATAAGTCTTGTTCTGGGTTGCCGTSGTGTCTGTAAGAGAGCGCCACAGAAAAGTCATTTCCTGTTGAACGAGAACGCTGTGGCTTTAACAGTGGAAACAAACAAAACATTGGTTTATGAAATGAAAGTAACGTAGAGTCAAAGCAAATTTGTTTCAATGTCACACATTGATGTTTAATGTGACCTTAATTTAAAAAAGTTAGCAAAATCGGTTTGTTTACATACAGAAACAAAGTGGCTGAAAACAGGTCTGCACTGGTAATGTCCATGAAAGAGCCAGTAGGGATTGATAAGTTTGACAGTTTTATCGTATTGCTACATTTTTATATTAACATTTGTTCAGTAAAAACAAGCATCAACATGGTTTTTGCACATGCAGTCGAGTTCTTTGTTTACAATGATTGCTTACCCTCATTTAAAAAGTACATATGATGCAAATTCCTTTTTTTAGTAGATAAATTCATTTTTTGTGTACATGGAGTCTGCAGAAAATTGGACTTTAGTCTCTCCCAGTGCTGCATAGATATTCTGTTTTAATCATATTTTTCAGCCCATTCAGTTTTCTGTATACGACATTTTCTAAAATATTACATCACAGTATTTGTGACAAAACTGTTAATTAAGGTCTGGATTTACCAACTACAATTTGGTGGTCTTCAGTATGCCTCTGCCTGCCCCAGAGTCATCTGCATTGAAAGCACTGGGCATGCAGTTACCTGTTTACCTCTATTTATTGACTTAAATATTCTAAGAAATATGTAACTATATCAACAATGTTTAAACACGACTTCCTCTTTGGTATTTCATTTAACCAGTTATTTTAGTGAGTTCTATTTGTTCTCGTTCCCTTGTTGACATTGTTTAATTCATTTGCAAATAAAAAGTTTCTGCACCGCTATATAGTCGTAAACCCCTCTATCAAACTGGAGTGGACCGCTCTGTAAGCTGGAGGAGGGCGGGGCATGAAGCGCCTCGTTTGGATTTAAAGAGACAGCCTCAAAACGAGTTGATCTGAGACACACCTCGTAAATGAGGATGAAAGACGGGCTTGTGGAGTTACAATAGGGAGGAATTCTATGGGGTGCAGTTTGTAAAGT